CACGGAGGTCAGGAGAGGATGGCAGATCCCCTGGAACTGGAGTTATGAACAGTTGTTAGCCACCATGTGGGTGCTGGGAATCGAACCAAATCCTCTTCAAGAGCAGCCAGTGCTCTTAAGCGCTGAGCCATCTCTCCAGCCTTGTCCCTAAGCATTTTATCACCACACAAAAGGGTGTACATAAATAGTTCCAAAGAGGAAACAACCAAAATGTCCCTGTTGTATACACTATCCTTTGAGCCATCATCTTCATCAGAGCAGCTGTGACTACTTGCAAGACCCTTAAGATGGGGCCTGTTGACTGTTGATGTTTTTTCATGGAAGGAGTGGGGAGAGTCATTCGACCCTTTCCTGAGATTCCAGCTGTTCCATCCTACACCTCTCTGCCAGAAATATGCAATTCTACCCTAACTGTACATGGCCTTGGGGCCCAGAGAGGTGCTAGAGTATAGAGTTGTGGAAGACTAATGGAAGGGGGTGTATATATAGCTATGAAGAAATTGCTGGAGACTCTCTAGTGATATGGTTGCATCAATGGACAGTATCAAGGAGATGAAAAGACAATTTCAGAGAAAATATTTGTAAATCACATATTAGATAAGAGATCAATATCCAAAATATATAAAGAATCCCCCCTATCTACATTGGAAGAACAGAAAACCAAACCTGATTGCAAAATGGGCAAAGGACTTTGAGCAGGTCTTTCTCCAAAGACATATAAAAAGATGCTCAACCCCACTAACCATCAAGGAGATGCAAAACCAAACTATGAGATACCATTTCACACACACTCACTATATATAGATATATAGATGTATATTGTAGATAACTTCTATTAAAAACATAACCAGAAAATAACTAAGCAAGAATGTGGGGAAATTGGTACCTTTACACATTGCTGGGGGAATATAAAATGTGTAGCCATTGTGGAACTCAGTATGATGATTCTTAAAAAAATTGAAAAGAATTTCTACCTTTCAAACAATCAAAAGTAAGATGTCAAAGAGCTATTAGTACATCCATGTTCATAGCAGCATTATTCACAATAGCTAACAGGTAAAAATCAACAACATGTCCATTAATGGATGAATAGGCATGTGGCATAGGCATATAATGGAGTGTTCAGCCTTAGAAAGGAATTGAATTCTAATATATCTACAACATAGATGATACTTGAAAATGTGCTAAGGAAAATAAATCAGCTCAACAGAGTAAATATATGGCTTCACGTCTATGAGATTCCTAGAATGGTAGGATTCATATGGACAGTAGACGAGGAGTTACCATGGACTGGAAGTAGGTGGAGTGCAGTGTGGCAATTCATATTACTGTCAACTTGACAGGATCTAGAATCACCTAGAAGACAAGCCTCTGGGCATGTCTATGAGGAATGATCTAGATTAGGTTAACGAAGGTGGGAAGAGCCACCTTAAATGGGGGTGGTAACATTCATTGGGCTAGGGTCTTGCACTGAATAAAAAGAGGTGAGCTGAGCATCAGCATTTATCAGTGTTTCCTCACTGTAGATACAATATGACCAGCTGCCTGCAGCTCTTGCCACCATGCCTTCCCACCTGTCCTGGTTTGTTTCTTCATTGCTGTGACAAAATACTCTGACCAATACCAATTTGGGAAGGAAAGGGTTTATTCAGTTTACATCTCCCAGGTCGCAGTTCATCAGGGAGCCCAAGGTAGGAACTCAGGGCAGGAACCTGGAAGCAGGAGCTGGAGCACAGGCCATCGAGGGACGCTGTTTACTGGCTTACTCTCTTGGCCCCTGCTCAGCCTGCTTTCTTATGCAATACAGGCCCACCTGCCCAGGGATGGCACCACCTACAGTGGGCTGGGCCCTCCCACATCACTCATCAAGAAGATGCCCTCAGACATGGCCATAGGCCAGTCCAATAGAGGCAATTCCCCAACTGAGGCTCCCTCAACCCAGGTTGACACTAAAGCTATCCAGCATACCACCCAAAATGGACTGTACCCTCAAAAATTGTGAGCCAAAATAAACCCTTCCTTTCCTTAGATTGCTTTTGTCATGCAGTGGGTTGATGAAAAAGTCCAGGAGATAGATAGGGGTGATAATGGTCAGAGAGCAACATGAATATACTTAGTCACTGGATTGTAGCCTTAAAAATTCTTATTGGTCAGAAGAGTTCTAAAATAAAATACAGGGATTTGGGGGATGTAAGAGCAGTTTGATTTTCACACATACCCTAAGAATGATCATTTTTATTATCTGAGTTTTAACATAACATGATGGTAAACAGTTGGAGCACAGGCACAGAACTTAGCATTGACCAGTGATGCCAAGCTATGCTCAGACTAGGAGCCTCGTGCCACAGGGATGTCTCAGTGGATAAAGGTGCTTGCTGCTCAACAATGCAGGCCTGTCAACCTAGGTTCAATCCCCCAAATCTATGCAGAGGTGGAAGGAAAGAACCAACTCCATAAGTTGTCCTCTGATCTCCACATGTACATGGTGGCATTCACTCCTACACACACATCACACACACAATAATAAATAAAAATTAAAAACAAAATCAAGTTAGGAGCCTCCTGGACATCAAGCCCTATCCAGGCTTAGCTCACATTGCTTCTCTGAGCCTTGTCTTCTGTCCCTCAAGGGCCCGTGATTCCAGAAGAGATTCCACACCTGTGAAGTGGAGAAAACCAGTTTCTGAACTCCGAAGCATCACCTTCCTACACCTGACACAGAAGTTTCGACAAGTAGAACATCTCTAGAAAGGGTGTTTGGAGGAGAGGCAGGAATAACTGAGGGGTCAGTTCTGAAGGTTCTATTTAAGGCAGTGATGGGAAGGAGCGGGAGGGAATGCAGACGTCAGGCAGTAGCCGAAGGTGAACCAGTGGGGACATGGAACAGACGCAGTGATCCAAGGCTGAAAAAGAGACCAAGTGTGATGGCTTGTGTCTGGAGTATTCCCTAGGGGCTCATGTGTGAAGAAGAGGTCTTTGATTCAGTACTGTTCAAAGGTCATTAGATCATCAGAGCCTGGACTTCATCATTGGATTAGCTCTTTATGGATTCAGAACTTAAGGGGCTACTGAGAGGTGGTGGAACTTTAGGAGGACCTGCTCTTAAGGGTATATTTTGTTCCAATCCTTGTCCTTTCTTTCTCTTTGCTTAAAGCTGCCATGAAGTAAATAGCTCTGGTCTGTTCCAGGATCCCCTCCATGATATTCTGCCTCACCACAGTACAGTGACAAACTAAGTGACCACAGACTGAAAACCTCTGAAGCTGTGAGAGAAGAGCAATCTTTCTTCCTTTCACTCTTTCTTCCTCAGGTATTTTGTTATGGTGATCGAAAGTTGACTACACCAAGATTGCACCAAACCCACCACAATGAACATGAAGATCAATTCTCCTGAGGTATGTAGTTCCTGCAAAGAAATCAGCCTACCAGAAATCAGCTTCCCAGAAGGGGTGACAACAAACTGAGTATAGGGTGGGGAGAGGATCTGAAGATCAACAAACCCAAATGAGCCAGTTGTGATGAGTGGGGTCAGAACTAACTCAAATGCCATGGCACTGGCATGATGTGCCTTGTGCTTGATTCAGTGTGTGGGCAGCCGTAATAGGTGGGGGAGTGGAGGAAAAGAGCTCTGCTTGCAGATGCAGTTGCCCAGAGCTGCAATGAACTTGCTCAGGTCATGTCCCAAAGTCAAGGCAAACACATGATACTCTGACAAAGGCCCAGTTATGAAGAAATCCTGAAAATAAAGAGATGTGAAAGAAGATGCCATTTTAGGATGTTCTCGGATCCATACAGAAGCTAGATCAGAAAAACATGATTTGGAGGCTGAGATGGACAGAAAGAAAGCCCTGTGCCATCATGGTGAGGTCTCTAGCCAGGAAGTGGTCTGTTAGGTATCATTTCAGTGGTACATTAAGTAACAACAGAATTGAACTTTATGTATATATATATATATTTTGAGTTTTTGTATATTTCTTTTTAATTTTAACATTTCAATAATGCTTATTAATCATAGCCTTCCATTTTACTATTGAAATTTTTCATTTAAATACCATTTGTGAATGACAATATTTTTTTTCTCTTTTTTTTCCTTCTAGATCTTAATAAAATTTAGACCCCCTCCCCCATCTGAACCCCCATAACCTGCCCCCACCAGATTTCATGCATTCTGTCATATATGTTAAAGTTTATCTGGTCAAGTATTTGTACCCAGATGTCCCTCGGTACAAGTTTATGCACTGGAATCTAGTCAGGTTATCTAGAGTCACTCCCTTAAAGAAGATCTACTCTCCCTCACCCAGCAGTAATTAGTTGCCAATAGTTCTTCAGCTAAGTTTGGGACCTGTCAACCATTTCCCCAGTTCTATGCTGGGTTTTTGGTCTGATTGAGTTGGCATGGGTCTTATGCATGCTGTTACCATCACTGCAAATTCATATGAGCAAGTTCCCTGAGGCCCAAAAGTCTTTGTTTCCTTATGTTCACACACCATCCCTGGCTTTTACAATCTTTCCGCCCCCTCTCCATGGGTGGTTGAGATTTAACATAGGAGTCCTATCTAGGGACACACACTCTGAAGTCTCTTAATTCTATAAAACTTGGCCAGTTGTGGCCTTCTGTGTGCATCATACTCTGTTGTATGGGAAAGTTTCGCTGGGAAGAGTTGAGGAATGCATTAGTATTCTCTCTACTGGCTGTTCTGCTATGTTCTGTGGGCCTCAGGCACAGGGGTTCTAGGGCCAGGGTGTGGTGTTGGCTCACAGGCCTAGTTGCTCTGTCAGAGAATAGACCCACCTTCCCAGCTAGTGTGCAGAGCAAGCAGCCATTGCCAAGGTCCCCTTCCCCATCTACTCGGTGTATCCTTGTGAGCCTAGGCTTGATGGCTGCATTCAGCCCTGAAGAATGACTTAATTTTCTTTAGCAGGACAGTAAGGAGTAAAGGAAGAAGAAAGCAGACAGTAGGAGAATGAAAAATGTGCAAATGAGCTCTAGAAAAACATACCAAAGCTGAATCTGGAAGCTGACGTGGTTATGGCAGCTTTATCCTCAATTCTGAGCAGTATATACTGAGAAGTATATTTCCCCTCAATATCCAGCCGTTTTCCCAACAGGGTATTTTGTGGTCCAGAGTCTCTGTTCTGTTCTCAGATGACTGACAGAGCCCCAAGCCCTCTCCGCTGCCTTCAGGAGCCCTTTAATATACAGGTGGCGCTTGAATGTGATGCCACCTTCCAGAGAGGATGTTGAAGGTAAAGAACATGAGTATCCATCTCATGTGATCCTGTTAGTACAAGTTCTGTGAAATAAACCATACCACCAGATAAATGGTTTAATTTTATTTCAAAATTGTACAAAAGGCCATAAGTAGCTATAAAAAACTGTCTTCAGAACATGTGGAAATTCAGAAAGAACAAAATAGGTATCATTCACAGTGTAATGGAAAGGCTTTCTCTGAGGCAGAACTATAGCTCGTCTTTCCTTTTCCCTAGTTTCTCGAGGTCTCCTTCCCGGAGGGTTCTAATGAAATTGGTAAATCCCAATTCCTGCAGGGAAGAGGGAATAGGGAAGAGGGAAGAGGAAGGGGGGGAGGGGGAGAGAGAGAGAGAGAGAGAGAGAGAGAGAGGGAGAGAGAGAGAGAAAGAAAGAGAGAATGGGATTTAAATACAAGTGGATACACACCTTCCTATCCTCTCTTCCAATTCATGGGCAGACCCACAGGGAGGCCCTGCTGGCTCTGGCATAACCCCTCAGACTTCCAGCAAGATGAGGATGCAGCAGGCCCAGGGCCTGTATCTCCTGTCATGAACAGCATGGAGTGTCCTAGCTGACTGGTGAGGATCCCAGCAGCCTCCCTTTCCTGCCCTTTCTGAGGCTGTTTCCTGGCCCTCTCCAGGCAGAGATCTCTCCCAACTCACCGTGCGATCACTTTCGTACTTTTCTGCAAACTTCCCATAGTGGTAGTAGTGGAAAGTGGGGTAGGCCTTCACAGCCTCCTGCTGACACAGGTCTTGGTTCTTGTCCTTGACACAGTCCACAGCAGCACAGGCAATCTAGGGGGTGAGGTGGGGAGGGTCAGCAGGGACATCACCAACCTCCACGTCTGCCAGGGGCAGTGCTGGACTGAGGAGAACAAGAGCTTTGCAGTTAAGTTTCCCAAGGGCAAATCTCAGCTTGCCTGCACACTAAGACTTATGGAAAATGGCCTAGCCTCTTGGTGCCTCAGTGTCCTTGGCTGCAAAATAAGAATCATACCACCGTTACCAGAATGTTACAAAGCATGAGTAACAGAATTCAAATGAGACCAATCAGGCAGCAGCTGGCACAGGGTTGGTGGTTAGCATCAGCTGTGACTAGTCACGCCTATCATCCTCTACCCAAGCCTGGCCCCAGCTAGGAGTTCAGTGCCTGGACAGGGCATTGGATAAGGAGCAAACACAACTTTGTGTGATATGAGCTATCACGGGGGTGGCTCAAGGTGCCAGTGAACCAAAAGCACTCCATACCATTCACCATTTGAGCCAGGTCCTAATGATGGAGGAGGAGAAAGCCAGTGGAGCACATTCTCGAAAGGAGTCCAGCCTCACTAAGGCAACCAGGTGTGGTAGGAAAGAAGTTCTCAAAGTGCCTTTGGCCTCTTCTTGCCCATCTAACAAACTGCACGTGCTGGGCAGCTTTTCCTTATTACTTGTTGTTCTTTCAAAATAACAGGGTGAAGCAAAGGTTGGGTTTTTTTCCTGCTGAAGATCACACCCTGAAGAAGGTGATGGTTAGTGGCAATATACATCTCAGGAAAGCTGGAAGGGCAGGCTCAGACGGGAGGCAAGTCTTCCCATTATGTGCCAGGACTGGTCCAGAGGTGAGGGACACACAGGTAACCCTAACAAAGTCCAGTCATCAAGCATCTGCCATGAAACAAATGGGATCATTTCAGAGCCCAATGACTACTCCGCTGACATTACTGAAAGGTAATTTTGAGACAATTTAAGATTGCTGAACAGCCATGATTCATAGTTCTGGCTGCTGGATATTCACACCAGGAAGGTCCCTCTCCAGAGAACAGAGCTTTGCAGGTCACCAATGGCCAGGGTTCAGGTGAGTGGCTACTGTCCTGTGAGCTCCAGAACTGACAGAATAAGCAAGGGAGCAAGGGGGTTTGGTCTTCCCCCTGCCACCAGAGTGCCACCCATGCCCTCTTTCAGTTCACACCTCCCTTCTGCATCTTCAGCCACTGTTTTATGCAACAACAACAACAACAACAACAACAACAACAACAAAAAGGCTCCAAAGCTTTTTGAAGCAAAGTTTGCAAACTCATGAAACATAATCCATAGCTGGCTCTCAGGCCTGTTTTATTTGGCCCACATGGAACTTAAAAAGAAAATAAATTTGAATTGGCTGCCAGCATTGAAGGAGCCAGAAGATTTAATATAAAAATTTGGCTTCAAGCTTCTCTGTAAACGTTAGAAGATTGGATGGCACTGGCCCTGCATTCCCACAGGCAGCCACTGGCTGAGTGGAGGGGCAGCTGCCTCCTTCAGAGAGGCTAACCACGTCCTCCCCAGTACCCACATCAAACCTGATTTGCTCAGGCCAGCAGCTAGCCCCAACAGGCTACTGAGAACCTGGGCTCATCCTCTAAATTGTGTTCTGAATTATTTAGAAACATGAAGCAGATGCTCCTGTGGCCACCCAAGTGCAGGGTGGTTTTCCTCAGGATGGGCATGTCTGACTTTGCCTCCACATTGCCGGCAGCAGAGGGCAGTTGCAGCCGGCCCTGGGCCAGCTCCGCTCCTCTGTGAGAGGGTTTGATGAACACTGCTCTGGGCTGCTGCTCTCCCTGTATCCACTTTAAATTATGAATTCAATTTGTATACATGCCCCAGAGCTGTTGGAAATGTAGTGTATGGTTTTATAAATCTATTAAATTAAAATGTGTACTTGTGAATCCCTCACACTAGCTGCCAACAGCATACACAGAATGCAGCTTCCAGCTGCGAAGGGGAATCAGCGCTCAGTCTCTACATGAGACACAAAGACAGCCTCCTGAAGGGACAGCCAAAACTCTCCAGGAAGAACTTGTTCTCTGAGCTCCCCATTTCACCTGCCTGAACTCCTGTCCTGTCACACCTACTTGTGATCTGCACCGGCCATGTGCCTAGAGCATACATACAACCTTTGGCTTTGCTCTCCAGTAGTTGGCATGGATTCCTGAACTCTGGATCTGTTTCCTGAAGGGTCCCCTTAGCCAAGCATTTGTTATGGCACCTAAGAGCTTCCCAACTCTCAAGTTGCTAGGCTATGATTAATGATGGGTAGGAGGCCAAGGATAAGTGCCCTGGTTTCTTGGACCTTTGAGTAGGACACTTCTGTGGCTCATGACCCAGGAAGGTCCCCCAAAGGACTGAGCCTCAGCTAGCCACAGCCATCTGCCCATAATACCCCTGCTTTGGCTCCTTCCCCTTTCATCTCACTTCTTCCATCCCTGTGGTACTCCCTGAGTCCATTTCCCAAATACCCCCTTCTCCACACATGAGCCCCAGGCAGCACAGGACCTATACTGGGGAGACTTAAACTCTGGCAATGTTTGTGTTCAAAATTCTGACTCAGCTTTCAGTCAAGGAATTTGGGGGCTGCTCATTGAAGCTCCCTGAGCTTTAGTTTTCACATCAGCGAAGTAAGGAATGTAATAACACCCAGTTCATCAAGCTACTGTGAGGACCACATGACCCAGTGCCCACCATGGAAGAAGGGATCTCAGTCACTCTCAAGTATGTTACTGTTCCTTCATTCAGTCAATATTCACGGGGTCTTTCATCAGGACTTTGGAGAATTCAAGGACAAATGAGGATCCTGCATTAAGGAGTTTTCACTCCTGATGAGCAAAGGGCCTGGTGTGCAAACAGACCTATATCACCCTGCCAGATTACTGTGGTGATGTGGATTAGTCACAGAGTGGGGCACCTACTACCTAGTGACCTCCATCTGGGGAGATGACTACCACGCTCTCACTGGCTTATGCCCAAACTGGGCATAACTTTAAGTGCAGTGAAAGGTGAGCCTCTCCTGGCTAGCCCAGCAGTCCCTGGCCTCTGCTCTGGCCCACTTGCCTTCTACCATGCATCCCTGTTTTCTGAGCCTTTCGATAACACTATCTATTCCAAACACTCAGAGTCTGTAGCCTTCCTCGACCAGCGTGTCAACTGATAAAAGTCTCCAACTAAGCTCCTGGGAGGGGATTTAGGCTCCCCAGCTAAAATATGAGCTGCCTCACACAGCTTTATTGATTCAGTAAAATAAATCTCTGCAGGAGCTAATATTGACTTTGGCTATGAAAATGGAAGTGAAGAACCAACTGCATATTGATTGGGGAAGGAACCGAGACTAGCTGCTGGGTGGGAAAACAAAATACAATTCCAGCTAAGAAGTGGCAGCAAGGGGTATCAGAAAGAACAGGGAGTCAGGAGACCTAGGTCTGGCTGGCAGTGACCCTTGGGACATCCTTGAAAAAGGGACATAGCTCCTCTCTGGGTCATGGTCCCTCATGAGTACAAGGAGATGGGATGAGCCACTGGTCCCTAAACACCAGTGTTCACCCAGCTTAAGATGGTACCTCACAACTATGTACATACCTGGGGCAAAGAATGGGCACCAGTCACCTTATTCTCCAGGCCAGATGCTGGCCCCAAAATTTGCTGGTACTGCTTTTAACTGAGTGCTCTAGGAAACTCAGATGGGCCAGCTGCCAGGACAGACAGGTTAAGTCATGGAATAGGGGAGGTTGGAAAGAGAGCCAGAGGGAATGGGGGTGAGGATGAACCCAGAAAATGGTTGATTTATGTTAGAAAGTCAAGCAAAAATAGATCAGTGTTTAGAACATGAAAGGAAATGGGGCTCTGTGCATCAGAGGGAATGGAGAAGAGGGAGACTGGCTCTAGGTTGCCTACATGCACTTGGCAAGCCTGACCTCAGAAGGCCCTAGCAGTGGTCTAGTAGAAAGACAGATGCCCTGGTAATGTGGGCTGTCTTCTGGGCTTTCTCTGGCTACCCTGGTACTTCAGCTGACTCTGCTCCCTGTCATCATGCTTACCAGTACAGTCAGGAGAAACAATTTAAGCTCTGGGCATCACTGATGCCTCAGGATCCCTTCAAGGGTCTCCTAAAGTCCATGGGGACCTGAGCAGCCCTGGGTCAGAGAGGCTACCAAACTTACCCATTCTCCTGTCTATCTGGATTCTCCAGTGTTCTGGTTGAGGAGTGATGGGTGCTGACATAGAGTTACAGCTATTCCAGCACTGGGGTGGACAGCCAGGCTGTGCTGGATATCCTTGGGGCTCCCAGTGCAGAGCTGCCACTCTGGAGTGTGCACTGGGCATGGGTGACACAAGTGGATGGGACTAGTAAAGGAGATGGGACATAGGAAACCATTTCCTGTCATTCCCATGTCAGTGCAGGGCAAGCAGCTGGCAGAAGAGAAAAAAAAAAGTGTTTCTTGTCCTTACTCTCCTCCCTCCTGACAGAGTGAGGGGTAGCTCCAGGGCACAGCCAGGGCTTATGCGAAAGTTAGACTCCCTGAGTCCAGGGAAGGGTCCGGGGATCTAAGTAGGAATCTGGTCCTGTGGGTCTCCATGCTGCATATATGTTCCTGTTCCAAGCCTGGCTTACTATAGCTTCCTGACCCTGGAAGTTCTCACCACTGCTGCTGTTCCTTCAGGCCTGCCTGTTTTGTGCCTAGCTGGTGAGCTACCTCTGCTCACATGTGCTGCTTTACTGACACCATCTTCCCTGCTCCGCTTGGAGGAACCTATGTCTACTAGCTCAGTCTATGTCATGAGGACTCTGCTTTGCTTGTGCCTTTTTGGGCCTGAGGATTCCACCTGAGAAAATAAGGAGCCATAGCAGCAAAATACAGGACTCGGTATCAGGTGTGTGTGTACAGGTCCTCATGTAACCCTATGCTCCTTGGGCCTGGTATGTAACAGGTTCATATGAATGAGTCCAAGGGCTGGGCACAATCTTTACAACTATCTCTACTAGCCTCCAGACTGGGAAGATGGGGATTCAAGGACTGGGGACATGGCCGAATGATAGAGTGCTTGTCTAGCATGGGCTCTGAACCCAGCCCTGTCCTTGCAAACCAATAAACAAAACACAACAGAACACCTAGGAAAAGGAAACTTGAGAACTGGTCATTGACAGAACTCCCTGAGTTCTGGTGCCTGGCCCTGCCTCAAGAGCCACATACTGCCCTCTCCAGCAAGAGCCCTGCTGCTGAAACTCACTAAGCGCCCATGCCTGGAGCCCACTCCCTAATCCAATCTGCAGCTCCAGTTTGTTAATTTTATGCTTCATCGGCTGTCAGCTGTAGGAGCCTTTGCTTAGGCAAGATGAGGATCCTCTGGTGTTGTCTGGCTCTCCTCCACTGCAGCCTCCTCCACTTGACTTTTGTGGGGTTTGTATTTGTATTTTTAATTATATAAGTAATGCATGACTACAATCCTACTGTAAAAAGGTTTGAGCACGAAAAAATTGAATACACGGTTCCTTTCATACCCCTCCTCCACGGAAGTGCTCTGAAGTTTCAGTTTATCCCTTTAGTTGATTTTGCAGCAGAAATCCAATCTGTGCTGTCTTGCTTTGTGAAGAGAAAGAAAGCCCTGGTTCCCAAGAATGAACCTGCTCACAGGTCTTAGCAGAACTGCACCTAGGGTCGAGCATCTAACTGGCAGGGAAAAGGATGTAGGAATCAGTATAAGGCAAAATTGGGGATGGGACAAGGGAGGAAGGGAGTGTCCTTACCTTTCGGTCATCTTTGAAGGCATCAGCTGTGGCAGTAAAGTGCGGGATGACCTTCTTACAGTGTGGACACCCTGTGTGAGAAGGGACAGTGTCACACATGCCTGATGACATGAAGAGCCAGGACCACTTTCTGGAACTTCTGGAGAGTCCTTTCCAGGAGTCCCATACCCTGCCCACTCCACCATCGGGTTCATGTGGCAATGAACTTGGACAGTGAACCCTTGCCACCTAAACCTTACCCACACCTGGTCTGTGGGCACAGGTCTTTGCCAAAGCTTTCCATCTGCCACCCAGACTAAAAGACAGGTCTTTGTGATAATGTTCTGCAGAGACTGCCCTGGAGACTAGAAGAGGCAGAGGAAGTGCTGGACTTGGGAAAGAACCATGTGTGCTCAGGATACCCTAAGGCTTCCACAGTCTCCTCTTAACGCACAGATGATGGCACTTTATCTCTCTACTTCATGACTGAGGAAGCAGTGCTGGGAAGGTGGGGCTAGAAGCAGCCCCTCTGCCCAGGTTCTCAAGACCCATGCTTTTCTGCTAATTTCCACTCCTTTCAACAGCCTTCACATTTTGCTCTATGATCTCAACTGTAAAGCCAAGGACTAGAGGGTCCAAGTCAGGCTGGGAGGAAGATGAGCTACAGAGGGTCACCAGCAGCCCTCAAGTCCCCTGACATGTCTTGCCCCAGGGAAGACATGGAGATGAAGGACTAAAGATCTGCTGATGGATCTAGTCTCTTGGTCTGTGTATCCCTTTGAGCCCCTGGAACTGGAGTCCAGCACAGGAACCTGTTTGCGAGCCATTTCATTTTCTCCTCCTGTCACAGTTAGCTCAGGAAGCCACGGGCCACAATGGCCTTTCCCTCAGGGTAAACAGATCAGAACCCAAACCTACCCACTCTCCCAACCATTCACCAGATATTAGCAAACAGAACTGCCACAAGGATGGACAGCTTTGATCCCGACTCTGGCAATCAATTTGGATCAAAACAGGTAAGAGAGGTCACATGGCTGTTGGGCGACCTGGATCCAGTCCCAACTTCCTGACAAGGGCTGCATGTCCCACCTGGGGAGGCTGGCAGAGCTGACTGCAGGGAACAGAAATGACTCTTCTGCTTTCTCCTTTTTAGAATGAGATAATAATGACTGGCATTTCAAAGGATTTTGTGAAACTAAATTAAGGCTAAGCTAAAAAATTTAATCTGAATTTAGCATTTGAGCTGGTTCCTGACATGGGTGGGACCACCCATAGGGCCAGGCTTGGGGAACAGCCAGCTGGCCCCAGGACAGCACGGGGTGATGGGGAAGGAATCAGGGATTTCCCAACATCTGATACAGGAGCAGCAGAGACCTTGCTGGTTATGGGTTATTTCAGAACCAAATGATGGTAGATAATGGATGGATGACTTTCAACTGCCTAAAAAGGCAATTACAAGTAACACTATTAATCTGACCTAACAGAGACACAAAGCTCAAATTCATGAAAATGCCATAGTACAGAGGAGCGATGTTATATAATATCAAACCATTTAAAGATCACAATCTATTTACTGGTAGACACATCTTGTGGGCACCTACAGTCTCTGTGAAGGGCATAGGCCCACTAATAGCACACATAAAGGCAGGCTGAAAATAACCTACCCCGGGCCTCACAATCTGTTTTCACTATTAATTCTCCCTTTTTAACCTCTGCTTATTAAAAGCATGAAGGCAACTGTCAGCCTAGTGCAAATTCCGACATCATCAATTTAAAATATCAAGACCTCAGATTAATGGCCCCTTGCATCTCATTTTCTCATTATCTGAAAGAAAGAGTAAGGATGGCAGATGAGTCACTTGGAGGGGCGGTATGCCAGAAAGTGCATGGAGACGTTTCCAGGAGGTGTCAGGTGGGCCAGACTGTGGCCTTTGAAAATCTGGTCTTTTAAAAAAGAAAGTACCATGTCTGTGAAACAGGAAAGCATAGAGGCCTCCCAAAGTGGGATGGCAGGAGCAGAGCTTAAGGGCAGTCCCCATGACCAGACCATATAGGGTACAAAGACACAGCAGGAGGAAGACCTGTGTTGAAACCAGGGAGGCTTGATGTGGGAGGCCAACACAGGGGAGGATAAGATGTGGCTGAAAAGTGGGGGAATAAAGAGGCATGGAGGGGCAGATATGATGGGTCAGCTTTTGCTTTTTACTTCAGACTTTTATTGTGTTTTTGGCATTTCTGCAGCTTAGATTCTTTATATACAAGTAAGTACATATAATAATAATATATAGACAGATAGTAAGTGTATTATCATTGGAAAGCATAAAAAGATAGATTCATTCATCTTCGGATCTTCCCAAATATGTATCTCCTAGGAATCCTTGGACAAGATTTGGGGAAAGAAAATACAGTAAGAGGTAGAGAAATTCAAAGGACAAGCCCTTTGCCAGCAGTTGAGTCACAGATGGCACTGCATGAATGGGTTACGTTAGGCTGTGTCAGATCAGACTGGGGACCGAGAGGCCTGGCAGGGATATGGCTCCTTCCCCTGTATCCTGGGCCCAGCACAAAGCTGCTGTTTGAAGGAAAGCAGGCAGGTCTCAACAGCCCAGCTGGGGAGAAGAACCCTTCTCAGATTCTCTTGGGACATAGGAACCTGTCTGCTCTAGCAGCCAGTAAGGACCTTGTATCCATCAGAGGGTCCCTCAGAAAGGAATGAGGCATGGCCTGGCCCAAAGAAGAGGGGGCATTTCTTGGGGAAGCACTTCATCTCGATTTTCTGAAGTTGGTCACAGACTCCTACTTCTGTAGCCTAGTGCTTGCTTACGAGAATACTTACTAGATTGTGTCTGTGGCAAGCTGCAGGAAGGCCTGCTACTAATTTGTCACAAGACTTGGAGCAAGTCATGCAGCTCCAGGGGTCTCAGCCCTCCATCCTCTTTTGTCCTGAAGGAAGATGTTAACTTTCCAAAACTCATTTGGACTTCTAGGTATGCTCTAAGGGCAGATGAGGTCCCTGAGGATCTTTGTAGAGCAAATCCCACTTTAAAAAGATCCAAGGCTGAGGGGCAGGGAGGCTGCCAGGGTGTGCTGGCTGCCTGAGGGATAGGGTCTGAGGTCATGGTCTGCTGGGGCCTCCCAGACAGTGACAGTGACAGGAAGAGACACTGCCGGTTATTGACACTGAACAAGGGGGCAGGAGGGGAGCAAACAGGAGGGTTGGCTACAACTGAATGGGTTTACGACTAGACTGAGTGCCTGGCATCTCTGTCGACAGAGACTTTTATTATCCTCACTCCATTAAGCTGAGTTGTAACCTGGGGAGAGAGAGAAGGGCAAGAGAAGAATGGGAAATTCTAAGAAGTGTTCCCTCTAAGTGTCAATTAACAACTTCAAAATGGGAATGCACAAAAACCTGAGGTCACAAACACCAATATTAGCAGACATGCCACTTCCTCAGCTTACGCTCTGATTAAAATGAGAATTGTGGAACTTGTGGGTGAATATGCCTGTTCTGTGCCATGGCATCAAACCTAAATGGATCAGAGCTGCTAGGAAAGGGCAAGGGAGGGAGTTCTAGTAAGGTCAGTGCCTGGAGGAGGAACAGGAGGAAGGTGGGAAGGGGGTGGGGAGAGAGGGAGAGGGAGAGGGAGAGGGAGAGGGAGAGAGAGAGAGAGAGAGAGAGAGATAGAGAGAGAGATAGATCATCTCACTTGGGAGAGGAGCGAGAGCGAGGTAGAGCTAGTTCCAATGCGCGCTGAGACGA